TCCTGGCTTCACCCAGACAGTGCTGGCCTGAGCTTTTTGATCAGATACCAGGAAAAGACCAGGGGGTCTACTTTATGGGGTCTGCAGGGATGGGGAACCTGGGGGTCTGTGTGTCCCAGATACCCCCCTGAGGACTATGAAGCCGCAGTCACACCCTCTGCTCCCCTCTCCCTCTCCACAGCTGCCCTCTTCTCGGGGCCCCCAGCGCCCCCTCCCCACGGTTGAATGCTCTCCATGCTCCTAGCCGCCCTTGGGCTCTGGGAAATAAATTCTCCTGTTCTGGTGGCTGCCAGAGTTCAGTAGCAACAGAGCGCAATAGTGACGACAGTTAAGTCACAGGGAGAGACGGGCCCATCCAGACCGGGCCTGGAGCCCCAGGGCGTTCTCTCCTTCCCCTGCACCTGCATTGCTAATGAGTTAATAAATGTCAAGGTCACTAATCCCCTACCGCCGCCTTTGAGGGGGGCCTCCCCACCCTCACAGTGCCTGGCCCTGCCACGGCCCTTGTCAGCCCTTCCATGCAGGGAGCTCTGGGGCAGGGGCAGGGCAGGCTGTGAGCGTTCCAGGAGGAACCAGACAGCAGCCCTGCTCTCTCCCTTTCTACCCCATATTCCTGCAGCTCTGCCCTGCTTGCTGCCCCATCCCTTCCCCTCTGACCAGCCTGGGTGAGGGCTGTCTGCTCTCCCCACCCCTCCTCCTCACCTCCAGAGCTCAGCATCTACCACAGCCCTGCTGCTACAGACGAAGCCTGAGCCAGGGTCCCCAGTACCTGCCTCTTGGTCCTCACCGCCCTTAACCTTGGGGCTCAGGGTCTTGCGATCACACACCTGCCTGTCCAGCCCTCACCAACATCTCTGCAGCCCTTGTCAGGACCTGACTGGGTCCCTGGGGCCTCCCTCCTACTCTACTCTGGCTCCTTTCTGTATGACCCATGGCTTTGGGACCTCCTAATACAACCAGGAGGCCCACATCTGCAGCCCTAACAAGCCCCAAGCTGAAATCATGGCAAAGGCTCAGCTTGTGTCCAGTCTGTTCATAAACTCCACAATCAGAGACAAGCTATCTGAACTGGCACCTGCTGGTCTGCAAGTCTGGAGACCCTCCTGGCCTCTGTGTAGCCTGGAGAGGGCAGAAGCCCTGGGCCGCAAGGCTGTGGAAGGAATACAGGGCTCTCTTGTCACAGTATTTTAATTACTGGGCATGGGGTGGGGGTAGGTTAACGAGGCCCTAGGGATATGCCCAGCCCAGCCAGATGCTGGAGGTCCCAGGGGCCAGGTGACTCAGCAGTAAGGGTGTGTGTGTGTGTGTGTATATGAGGGGTTCAAGAGTGTCAAATCCTCACCTCTCCCTGCACCTGCTAGAGAGATAGGCTAGCGTGAGTGAATAGGCAGCTGCCCCAAAACAAGATCAACAGCAACTCTTCTGCCCAGCGCGCATGCGCGCATACACACACACATGCACGCAAGCATGCACACACACCTGTAGAGAGGCCAGTCTCTGTGCACCCTGAGGACACATGCTCAGCGGGTGTCTTGTCATCTCCCTTCTAGCTCAGGTTGGTTCCTTGCCAGCCCTACCCAACTCTCAATTTGCTGGGGAAGGCCCCAGGGCCCAGAGCACCCAGCGTCCTAACTAGCCCCTGGGGGGCAGTAAAAACAACAGGGGGCGGGGAGATGCCACCCTCTGGAGTGCTGACAGCCCTCTGGGCCTGACACAGATGGCAAAGGCATCAGGATGTACTGAAGAGGGTCTCCGCTGAAGGAGAAAGGGCTGCAGGGGCAGGAAAACCAGCAGGGACGGCCACAGGGTCTCACAGCCCAGTCTGGAGGGGAGACGGTGTTGTGAAGTAGGGAGGGGATCCCAGCCCCGCCCCATATCCATTTACCCCTTCAACCTGCAGTCAGCATGTTTAGCAAAACCAAGAACTGGGCTGTGCGTTGGACCCAGCCTAGATGAAGCAGCCCTGGGCTCAAGGACCCACTGTTTGTGGACAGAGTCATTTAAAATCAGTTATGAAAAAAAAATAAAATAAAATCAGTAGTGAGTCAGGTGCAATGGCACGCACCCATATAACCCCAGCTACTGGGGAGGCTGAAGTAGATGGGTCGCTTGAGCCCAGGAATTAAGGAATTAAGACCAGGTAACACGGCAACATAGATTCCTGTGGGTCAAACAAACATACAAACAAAACAGACTGTGAAGGGTCCTGAGAGGGACAGCCTTGAGTTACTTGGTGTGGAAGGGGTGGTCAAGGATGGTTTCCCTGCTGAAGCGGGAGAAGCTGAAACTGCCAGGCATATCAGGGGTTGAGAGGGCTGTACAAGGACCAGGGTTGGGCTGGGGATATAGCTCAGGGGCATAAGTGCCTGCCTGGCAAGTGCAAGGTCCTGAGTTCGATTTCTGATACCAAAAAAAAAAAAAAGGACCAGCGTTATTGGGTTAGAAAAGGTTAAGAGGATGTGGCCCTGGTATGGTGAGAGATGGCTGGGACCTCCTGGGCCTCTTCCAGGGCTGGGACACATCTGAGAGCAAAGGAGACCCTGAATATTTGGGGAGGAGGCATGGAGTTGGAGATGCAATTCTGCACTGGTGTGAGGACAGGGTCAGTGTGGAGTCCACGGCCACACTCAGCCTTCTGACTGTGATAAGGACAGTAGCTTCCACTGGAAGATGTGAAGTTCCTTGGTGACTGACTCTAGTCTTGGGGTGCCTGGGCATTTGTAGCCACTGCTCCACATCCTGTCAACTCTGCACAAAAGTCAGAGTCCCAAATAGATACTCACCAACAACAGATCCCCGCAGGCAAGTCTGGTACCCCTGTGCCTGCTGGCTTTGACCCTCCGGGGTCCCCTGGAACTCTGGACACCGGGGCCCAGCCCTGCTGGGGTTCCCCCCCACCACCATCCGGCGGATCCCCTGAGGCCTTGGTCGTTCCCACAGGCTTCCCCGGGGCCCTCTCCACGGCCTGTCGCTTGGGGCCCAGTGGTCGCTAGGCTGCAGGCTGGGGCTCCCGGGCAAGCCCAGCTCTGGTGGCAGTGGTGCTGGCTGCAGTGCAGATGGCGGCGGAGCCCGGGCGCTCGTGGGCTCAGGCGCGGAGCGCGTATGGAGCTAGTGAGGCGCTGCGGCGTGGCGCTGGACGCCGGCGGGACCCGGGATCGCAGCCCAATGGGCCGGTCCCCGAAGAAGTCCGCGCCCCAGGCCGCCTGGCTCGTCTGCGGGGCCAGCTCCGCGCTGAGGCGGCCGCGAGGGCAGAAGCGCCGAGACTGCTGAGGCTGGTGGAGCGCGCGGGGGCCGGAGCCGGTGCGGCGGCGACCAGCGACAGGACCGACGCGCGCAGCGGCGGCTCGGTGTGCTCCGTGTGCGGGGAGCCACGAGGCGGTGCCACTTACCCGGCGGGTGTCCTGGAAGTGAGCGAGCGGCGGCTGCAGGAGGGCCTGGCGGCCGTGCGCGCAGAGCTGGGCGCGGGATTAGAGGCGCTGCGAGCGGAGCTGCGCGCCGAGCTGGACGCCCTTCGCGCGCTGCTGCCGCCCGCTCCGTCGCCGCCACCCGCCCGCCGCGAGCCCCGTGCTGTCCCCCGCGCCGCGCCCCGAGGTCCAGCTCTGCTGCGGGCACTTGGAGCTGTGAACGCCTTGGTCACGCCATCGAAGCCCGACACGGACGGCCCTGATGGCCCCGCAGAAGGCGGTGCGAACCGAGCCCCAGTGCGGAAGAACCACAAGAAAACTTCCCTGCCACCCGCGGCCCCGCAAGGAGATTGAGAGCAGCCATACGCAAGGCGGCCCAGGGTGAGGCACAGGGAAGTCACCGCTAGACTAAGGGGTTGTGGTGTCCCTGGGAGGGGGCAAATGGAAAGATGTACCCTCCGCCTGGTTCGAAGCAAGAAGAGTCCCACAGGCTGCCAGCTAGTGCTCTGTATTTGGAGGGCTGGGGACTCTCCAGGATCAGTCTGCGCAGGGAGGGTGGCTCTGCACTTGTGACCAGCGCTGGAGACTTTGTCCCGGCTGTGGAGGGTGAGTAGGGCCCTTTGGTCTTAAGAGTGAGTAAGGATCTGGGCCAGGGGTGCCAGCTCCAGGAAAGCAGAGCCCAGGGGTCTGCAGCCCAACTCCCCTGCCTCTGGGGAAGTGAGTGCAGATTCATTTTCTTTAATGGTGCTAGGGGAAGGCAAGCCCTCCGCACACTGCAATGGTGTCATTCACACACTATGCAACGGACTCCAGGGACGCCTGAGTGGCTGAGACATTGGGACCCGGACACAGTGTCAGTGAGGACAGTTCCATACCAGTATACAAGCACATTCCCCACATGGGTCACCTAGGCAGCAGCCTGCCTCTGGCCAGCTTCACTCACTCGACAGTCTCATGTACTGTCCCTTGGATCAACTTTGCTTTGAACAGTGACACCAAGGACACTTATGCTTTCACTTAGCCTCACCTCAGACTCTGGGATACAGCATCTCTCTAGAAAGTGTCACTCTACAATTAGACTCCACAGTGTAACCTCCCAGCTTAACTTCTACCTGTGTGTGGCTTCACCGTGGCAGACAGCCCTTCACTACCATCTGTGTCACCCGGGCCCTCCAACCCAGCCCAGTCTGCAGCAGAGACTTGAACAAACAACTTCTCACTGCCCAAACGGGAAACTTCACTTAAATGAATAGTATCCTAAGCTTTAAATAAAATGTGTAATTGTGGGCTAAAGGTGACATTTGAAAGACATGCGAGCTTTTCTCCTTCCATCTATATAATATGTAGTAGGCAGGGGGTGGGGACCCCTTCTCCCTCTGAGCAGGATCTGGGGGTGAGTCTGGGGCTTTTGGAAAAGAATCCTGAGCCTGTGGCAGGGTAGGGGCGGGTCACGGTGGGTCTCCCAGTTGTTAGGTCAGCACTTGAAGTGGAAGACAGCTTAACCTAGGCCCCATTCCATTCCTAGCCACATTAGCCCAAGGTCACTCTGTGCATCATGTTTTATTTTATTTTATTTTTATTTTATACAGGCTCTTGCTATGTAGTTCAGGTTGGCCTTGAGCTCACTATGTAGCAATCCTCCTGCCTCTGCCTCCCAAGTGCTGAGATCACAAGCATGCCAATAGGCCAGGGTATGCATCATTTATTGTGAGAGGAGAGTCATGCCTATATCCTAGGTCCCTGCCACAGCCACATGCAGAGCCCCAGGCCCAGTAGAGTCTGGTGTGCACCAGCCAGGGTAAGGGCGGGGGGTGAGGCTGCAGCACGGATCATGGTTCCGGGTGAGGCAAAAATCCTGCGCCCTTCCAGGGGCTGCTGGGGGCGAAAATTATCAGTGAGCAGCCCGAGACTGGCCCGAGGTAAGGTCTGGAACTGGGTCACCTGAGAGGGCAAAGATGAGTCAAGATGGGAGGGGTGGGGAAAGCTAAAGCTTTAGGAAGGAGGACAGCCTGGCCCAGGGGCAGGGGACCCACCTGTGCACGCCCAATGGGTACGGCGCTCTCAAAGATGGTCCAGAGCACCGTGGGTTCACAGCCTGGTGTGGTCAGTGACCCCGAGTAGCGATAGTAGTGCAAGAGCCCTGAGGAGCCAGGCAGCAGAGAGGCCAGTGGGAAAGTGGATGTCAGATTCACCAAGACCCCTGTGGGGGAGGAGAGATTAGAATCCACTTCCCTGGGCCCCCAGCTTAGATGCAACCCCACTGCTCCTCACCCGGTGAAGACACGTTCTTCAGGACTGACACAATAGCAGAGAAGTTGGAGTTGTCTTGCTCCTGCTCCTGGGGAGTGCAATTCCAGTGAGAGAGACTTGAGTTGGGAGTCTCTGAGGGTGGGAACTCTGGGAGTAGGGGGCAGATTCCAGTGGGAATCTCCCAGGAGTAATAGTGTCCAGGGAAATGGCTTTGGGGAGGGTCACCCTTACTGAGCCCCAAGATCCAGCACTTCCCAATGGCTTCATCCTCCCAGAAAATCCTCTGAATTCTGTAGGACCCCAAACGACACCTCACTACCCTACAGATTCCCAAGGCCTAGCCCACCCTCTCCACACATCACAAGATCCCCTCTCTGGAAGTCACTGGATGGCTCAGCCCCTCTCACCGCCAACAGCACAGCCAGCACTGCGAGCCCATCAGGGTGACATCGTGCCTCCCCCATGCTCTGGTACTTTGTGCTTATGTGGACCACGTGCATCTGGGGAGGTAAAGACATCGGGAGGGTCCTGCTGCCCTCTCCCCTCACACTCTCCCGCCTTCACGGTGCACCCTCCCTTGCCGGAGCCCACCTCCATGGAGCTCCGCTGCCCTTCCAGGCTGTGCTCAGAGCCTGTGCGTCCTGGGCTCCCCCAGTGGAAGTGCAGCTGCAGCGCTCGGTAGGCAGGTGATGGCAGCCCAGCTCCCCAGATCTTCAGGGGGTTCTGTGGACCAGTGTCCACATGGAGTAGCACTGAGGGTGAGGGGATACATGGCAGTCCCCTCCCCTGCCAGTGCACCACATGCAGCACAGCAGGGAGGGCAGCCCTCCTGTGGTGGTCTGGCCCCTGCTGTTTGTGCGGTTGTGGCTACTCTCCAGGCTCCCTGATCCTGAGTACATCCCGACTTCTGGGTCTGCTTTGACTTTCTGTCCTGCTGCAAGGGCCATAGCTAGTTACTGTTTATAAGGAGGGTACCAACTCCTATGGGTGGCATCTTGGCCACTGTGTGTGGTTCTGCTTTGTGGTGATTTTGACTCTATTAAGCAGGGTGGGGGAGACTCCCATTTTTGTATATAGCTTCTTAGCCCATTTGTGGGTGTTGTTTTTAGTTTTGTAGTGCTGAAGGTGGAATGCAGGGCCTCACAGGTTCTCAGCAAGCGCCCTAACACTGAGCTATGCTCCCAGCCTTGTGGGCAATTCTTGACCTCTATATGGTATTTCAGCTCCTGTGTGTGTTAAGTCCTGATGCTTGTGTGCCTATGGGAGTTCTCATCCCTGGTGTGGGGTTCCTGCCTCTGTCTGTGGGAAGTCCTGACCCTAGGCTGCTGACCTGTATGGCCATCATTCTCGAGGGTCCATGGGCCTGGAGGTGCAGAGTCATAGCCTTGAAAGATGAAGGGCCCAAGAGTGGAGTCCCGCTGGACCAGGCGGAGGTCAATGTTGATGGGGGACTGGGTTGGGCCCCCACAGGCAGGTGCTAACTCCTTCCAGTGGGTGGGGCCTGAGGGAACAAGGTCTGGGGTCTCTGAGAAGGGGGTCAAGAAAGCAGCCTAAGGGTACATAGAGGACCCCACATACCAGAGGATATCCTAGCCTCAGGAAACTGCTCCCCTCTCCCTCCACACACCTGGCCAGGCCACAGCTTCCACCCCTTGTCCTCAGCACCTGACCTAGCCACCAAGTCTGCCCCACAGGGTGCCCCACAGGGAGAGCCAGTAGACCTCTCTGACCCACAGTGGAGACCGCCATCGCACACACACTGACAGGGCCACAGACCGAGATGGGAGCAGGACTGGGGATCACAGCAGACCTGGACACGGATCGAGGAACTGTCACAGCCATGCTGTCTGCTCCCTAGACAGTCACTTGGGCACAAGAACATAGGAACCTGCAGATACCACCAAAGTGCAGGGTGCAGTCTGCCTCTTGGCACCTCTCTGCTGGCTCTACACCCCTCTGGTGGCTCCCAAACACAGGCCAACCCCACACAGCCCCATTTGACACGGTGTCCTCACCACACATTGGGTCCTGGGAGTCGTAGCACCAGGCATCTGCAGACAGTGGGCAGGGAATGGAGCTGAGAGACCAGCCTTTTCCAGGCCCCCATCTCAGCAGCATCCAGGAATGGGGAATGTGGCTTAGGCCAGAAGAAGCCAGTGTAGAGCCTGCTCATCTGTCACCCCAACCATGTATCTCCTCCTCCTAGCCTCCCACCTCCCACCGGTGGCAGGAACAAAAAGGTGGCAGAAATCGGACAGCAGGGGAATTGGGTCAAGAACAGAAGGGCAGAGTCCTAGCGCTCACCCTCCGAGCCCGTCCGCACCACCAGTTGCACCGCGAAGAGGAGCATGCAGCCTGGGGGCCTCATGGCACAGCGGCAGCTTCCACTCTGGAGAACTAGGAAGAGGCTCGAGATCTTGGAGTGAGGCCGCTACATATTTATTAGCAGGGTGGGCTAGGGGCGGGCTAAATCCTCCACTGGCTAGGACCAGATCGCCTCTGAGGGGTCCGGAGTGAGACAGGTGACGCCCAGGCGAGGCACCTGGAGGGAGGGTTCCAAACTGACTAGGGTCCGCCCTTAGCCCCAGGGCTGCAGCTGCATGCAGCAAGATCTCTGGCATTAATCCTGAGGGGAGAGGGTTTGTCCTATTATTATTCCCATTTATAGTACTGGAAATGGAGCCTGGAACCAGAAATGACAAGTCAAATCCACCAATCAGCAAGGATGTTAGTTTTAAGGGGGAAAGCACCTTGGATCCCAGCGCCACTGACTTGAGAGGCAGGATTGCAGGGGCGTGGGAAGACATCTTTGCCCCGCCGCCAGTGTGGGACTCCCTTCCTTGACTCCAGAACACTGCCTTCTTTCCAATGACACCCCTCTTTCCACGGACAACCCTACCAAAGTCCTCGGAGATGTTGCTGCCCTTCCCCCTCCGCCGCGCTCAGCGCTGGTGGAGATTCAGGTTAATGCAGTGGCTCCCGGGAAGCAGGCAAATGATGCCTGTAGATCTCAGCACTTGGCACACAACTCTGCGCAGGGGGTGGGCTGGCGGGCACCCCTGTGGACTGTGCCTCTTGCCAGTCGCCCAGGTCCTTCCCCATTTAGTGGGCCAGGAGCTGTCCACGGTGCTAACGGTGACCCTGGCGCCCAGCAGCTTTTAGGAAGTTTAGCTAGAACACTCCTCTCGGGCATTGTGCTCACGGAGCCCTCCAGTCCCTGCGTAACTTGGGAAGTTATTGCACTGACAACTGAGTAGTGCTTAGAGCCCTGGAGTCTGCCCCTGGTTCCTCCAGATGGTCCTGCTCAAATCACTCCCCATCATCTGAGCAGTTTCAGGAACCCAATTCAGCTATCTCCCAACCCCATCACCCCGCCCAGTTCCTCCACCCACGCAGGCTGGAGCACTGCAGGGTCCCACGCCGTCACTGCTGGGAGTCTAGTTACCTTCTTGCCAAGCCCCAGCGAGTGCCCTACCCAAGCCTCACCAGCCCTGGCTCCAATACTTACGTCCTCAGGCTGCACTTGAAAAGGCATCCAGATTGCCATCCTATTTTACAGATGAGAAGTCCCCCAGAGAAGGCCTGCGCCCCCTTCACATTCAACCCACACTGAAGTTAGAGGCAAATTCCACCCAGGTCCTCTTTGGGTGAGTAAGGTACTGATCTCCCTACCCTGAGACCCAGTGGCTGGGCTTGAGGACAGGTCTCAAAAGACTCGAGGGGCCAGGACTGCTTTCGGACAAGGTGGACTGCACGGAGAGTCTGCTTATATATAGCTACCTGCATGGCCAGCAGAGCTTAAAGATGGGGCAGGAGTCCAAATTCCAGGCCCTCCCTAGTGCCCACCCTACCCCAGGTCTCCCACCATTAGGGCAGCCAATGTGTCACATGGGATGCAAGGCAGCCCTGCTATCTACGTGCACCTGGTGCAAATCACCAGCACTCTCCAACGTGGCAGCCAATACCCAAGGCAGTGGGGTTTGAGTGCCAGAGGAATGGCAGCACCTCACTGCATTGCTCAGCTCCGTGTTCCTCTGCCATGGAGCAGAGGGGCCTGGAAGCCACCTGTAAGGGCTGTCCTGCAGAAAGGCAGGTGCTCCCGCCATTCTCACCTGAACCTGCGGCAGCTGGGGAGGGAGGGGGGTTGGGCTACAGCAAGAAGTACTCCTCTTCCAGAACACAAGTTTATTTGGCATTTGGATGAAATGGTTCTCACAGCATCTTAAGAAAAGGATTAGTGCCAACCAGACGAAAAATACACCCGAACTAAAACCCTTAGTGAAAGGAAAAGTAAAAACAGGCATTGAGACAATGTACAGTATCAAATGCCACCTCCACAAGGCAGGTCAGAGGGCACCTGGTCAGAAACAGTGCCAAGGCAGTCCTGGGGAAGGGGTCCCTCCCAGGAGCTTGGACTGTCCCTAGTATGTGGGGTGAGCAGGGGCAGTCTCCTACAGGAACACGTCTCAGCAAAGGCCACTCCTCTTCATCAGACCTCAGAGGGGAAATCTCGCAGAGGTGGCAGAGGACAGGTAAGAACAAATGGGCACACCCCAGCTCTCCTTGCTTCCCTCACAACTGTTCCCGGCAAGAGCATGGCTCCCGGAGCCAGAGCAGCTGGTGGTCTGAGCAGCCCTGCACACAGGCCTTCTGCCAGCCTCAGGATGGCAGTGGGTTAAGCATCTGGTGCCAGGCCTGGGTACCGTGATGCTTCCCCAACTGAGAAACACCCACTGGCAACCCTGAGAACACTCTTGCCAGCCCTGAAGCAAGCACACCTCTGCAGTCCCCACAGTCCGTTTCGGGTCTCTCTTCCTCACTGCCCCCCCTACCTGCCTGCTTGGCTCTAACACTCCTCCGGTCCCCAGAGCAAGCTTCTTAGTCCCACACCCACTGCGCCAGCTGCCCTGCCCTGCACATTTCTGAGGCCTAGGAGGCCCCCTCTCAGTTGCTGGAGGTAGGTCCCAGTGGAGCTTTGCTGGAGTGGTCCTCAGAACCCTCTTGGGGCTCTCAGAACCTGTGTACAGAGGCCTGCTTTATTCTCTGGTGGACATAAGGACCTCACGGCCATAACGTCATTCTAAGCAGCAGCCTTTTGGCAAGGGAGGCATACACTGTAGCATCTGGTTCCTATGGGCCGAGCCCAGGGACAGGCTGTTCAATAACAAAAACATACCTCCAGTCAGCTCTTGGTCAGAGCTTATGTCTGGGCAACTTGAGATCCCCTTTTACAAAGTGCCTGCAATTGGGCTGAGCTCCACAGAACCAAGTGTGTCAATGACTTTTCCCCACTGATATTCCTTAGTGGGATAAGGCTCTCTCACGCAAGGATCATGGGCGAAGAGCAGGATTTTAGGCACAGTTCCATCCCAGTGGAGCCCAAGACAAAATGTCAGAGCTGGAGCAGCAGGGCCCTGCCCCACTCTGAGTTCCTATGAACTACCACCTGCAAACATTTGGCCATATACAGACACGCACAGACACACACACACACAAAAGAAGAGATCCAGACATTCAACGTAGAAAAGATATGATGTGCTAAAAATCGCACAGAACCCGCTTAATCTCCAAACCTCAGAAATGGTAAAGGCCTGTGTTAGGCCTCAGGGACCCTCAAGCAAAAGGCCCCCAAGCACCTAAGGCTGCTGAGGGAGGGAGGCGTGCATGCAGCCACCAGGTACTGGGCTCTAGTGGTGGCAGTGGTGCAGGAAGTGGACTTTCAGGAGATGGACACAGCCTGGGATACTCAGTTCAGCCACCCCTTCCTTGAAGGAAACAACCCTTTATGGCACAAATGTGGGGTGGGGGCAGACCAGACCCAGGGGCCATCCAACAAGAGGTGGGGCCCAGAAGGTGGGGCACAATACCAGTTTAGCCCCACATCTTCAATGGGGGTGCAGAGCCTACTCCAGGGGGAGCCATGCACAACAGTGTTGGGGAGAGATGGGAGGGCTGGGCTCAGGCCTCCCGCCACACAGCTGGGTTCTGTGAAAGAAGATGCAAGTTTTCAACCTTCTTCTCAGGGCCCTGGTCTTTGATGTTCACAGCTGAACCTGGAAGGGCCACTCCCAGAACAGCCAATGTAGCACATCTAAGGCTGTCTCCCTGGGAGCATACCCACTGCCTCAACAGTACTGACTGTTCACAGATGGCCCCGGCCCAGCCCTACCCCTGGGGCCTTCTGTTCCCATAGTGCCTGCTCTTCCCTCCTCCTGAAATGTGTGGTGTGGGCACACACCATCATTCTTCTGCCATTTAAAGAGACACTGACCCAAAGCTGTGCATGTTTGTGAAGCCCTCAAGGAAACTTGGTGCGGGTGCTTGCCCCTTGGACAGAGGCAGCTGCGGTCTCTATATACACGCACACCAGCTGGTGGGTGTGCGGCAGTGGAGCAGGGTCCAGGCTGCAGCAGGGCCCCTTCAAGTGTCCCACAGGGACTAGTGTTTTCTCGACAGCAAACAGGTACTCTCAGCCCATTGGAGTCATGGGCTAGGCTGTCTATACTACAGTATTGAGGGAGCCAAGACTGGGGCGGCCACCTCCTGGTGATGCCTCTGCGGCTGGGGTGTTCCCACTCTGAGTAGGGTCAGGGGGCATGAGCAGGACACTGCTGCTGTCTGCAGAGTCTTCCAGGTCTGCCAGGGAGGTCTCCAAAGGGGGCAGAGGCTGTTCCAGGCACTGAGGCAATGCACCTTCACTGCTACCATCCCCTGGAGTTGGCGGGCCAGCCTCTACAGGATCAAAGGCATCGTCATCTGCAGGAGAAAGGGGCGTCAGAGGTTAAGTGAGGGCCGGGCAGATTGGGGACACTTCTTCCTGAACACTCCTGCCACTGCTGTGTGGTAAACATGCCCCAATGGCCCACCCTGGACCTCAGATTCTGGAGGGGAGCCCTCCCCACAGGGGCTTTACTATGCACACCACTCCCCGTGGTCTGCTCCTTTCCAGGCTGGCATCTGGTTTGTGCAAGGTGAGGGCACAGTCTCAAAGCAGACAAGGCTCTGTTCAGCCACCGTGGAGTGGTAAGGCAAGATGCAGCAAGAGTCATCAGAACAAAGGGAGGCCAAAGGGAAACCACCCGAGACTCAGCAAGGAGATGGCAGCAGGTGATGCCAGGGAGTTACTGGGCCCCGAAAGGTGGAAGAACATTCAGGGCCACAGAGGGAACATGGCAGGCAGAGCACAGGAGACTGGGTCAGAGCAGGCAGCATGAGTATGTGAAGAATGTGCTGAGAGAAGCCTGGAAGCAGCAGCTCTTTCCTTCACCCAGCGGGCTTCTTACTACGTTGGGCAGCTTCTGCAAGCAGGTGCCACAAGCTGCCAGGAGCATAGCCCTCCCCTGACTAAGTCATCGCAGCCTCCCTGCGCTGGGCCTGCAACAGCCCTTGCAGAAAGCTTGTGCTACCTTGGTACCTCTGTGACAATCTGAGCCCTGATGACAATCAGGGCTCAACTCATACAGCAGTGCCAGGCTCGGTATGCCCAGTGTGCTGAATGGGAGCGTGCAAGGAGCTGGTGTCTTGGGGTGGCACTGCCCACAAGGCTACTACAGGGTTGTGTTAGAGGGTGTAAGGCACAGGAAAAAGGATGGGACATTTGTACTACATCCAAGGACAGAGACTAGCAGTATGTGTGGGGACCTAATTGGTTCTTCTCAGCTGCACAGTCCTGAGAGGAGCAACTTCCAGGGTCAGATGGGATGTGACTCCAGCAATTGGTCACAACACAAGAACCAGTACTTTCCTCCCACCTCCCAGAGCTGCTTCCTGTTATGTCACAACAGTGTTTCTCAGCCCACCACGTGCACGTTTTTTTCGCCAAGTGAGTGGCTCCTGGGCCTGCGCCATAACCAGTCCTGTCCCAATGCTTGGTTTCCCATCCCTTCACAGAGCCAGACTGACTGGGCTCCAACAGCTGCTAGGAGGGAGGTAGAGAGGGATGTAGAAGAAAGAGGATCTCAGACCTCCCCAGGATTCTTGACATAGATATGGACAGAGGAAGCAATCAGGACAGGTGAGCAAGCCCCTTCTGTAAGGGTAATACTGGGAAAAACCCTAAAGCAAAAGCCTAAGAGAAGGCCAGAAAAAAGTAGGGGCCCCAGGCCTCCCAATCTGGGGAAGACCTGTGCCCTGATGACTCCATCTTCCCTTCCCCTGGGGTGGGCAGGCACCTGCAGGATCGTAGAACACACTGTCCGGGTTGATCGAGGCCTCATAGGGTGGTGGTGGGTCATCGGGCTGGTCGATATCCGGGTACTTGTAAGCTGTGTAGGGAGGCGGAGGGTCGTGGAAGTGGAAAGTCCCGCCTTCCCCATCATCAGAAAGATGGAGTGGGGTGAGGCCAGTGCCAAACCTGTCTGGGCCGTAGTCAAAGCCAGGGATCCTCCGGCCAAGGTTGAAGTGGTGTACTGGGCCGTCGAAAGTGAGAAATACAAGCAGAGGTGTGTGACTTGGAGGCAGGCAGCCTCGTTCCTGAGCCCTCTTCCTGAAGTTGGGTCTACTGTCTCAAGTACCACACACCTATAAGCAGGTTGCCCACCTGTTGGCCACCATCTAACATGTCACACAAGAACTCTAAGCCTGACTCTCTTGTCTCCAGGTCCCTCTACCAGCGTCCACACTGGAACCCACAGGCAACCTGTCACTTTGTCTTGCCACTTGTACTGCAACATTCTCCAGCTCTAATGTGCTTCTGCTTTTCTAACCCACAAGGGCCTTCAGTTCGGCTCACTCTGGAGCTCAGTGAGCATTAAGGACAGTCAAGGTGAACACTCCCACTCATGGACAGAACACCAGCACCCCAGCCATGTGACACCTTCAAACCCAACTTGGATGCCCTGGGAGTACCAGGGACCCCGTTACAGCAACAGGAAAGATCCCCTCCAGTTGCTATCATCTGCCCTCAACTCTCCCATACTGAGACAGGCCTTCTAGTTGAGCCTGGTGCACTATCGAGGAACTTAGGCTAAGGAGGGTAAGATACACTACCTAAGCTGTCTAATTGCCACGGTATGTGGGGATCCTATGCTGGCAGGCCCACTGAAAGGTGATACCACTACCTGAATGAAAAGTGCTGCCCTCAGAGGTGTGAATGTTTGGAGGGTGGAAGGACTGCTTAACTTCACATCCTGGACAGCTCTTCTTCCCCAAGCATATGCTCAGCCTGCAAGCAGGCGCACAGCTGGAAAGGCTGCCACTGCTCCCCGATATTTGGGAAAGAACCCATCCCCTCCTCCTTTCTAATTCTTACCAGGATAACTGCTGGCACCTCAGCTTACATTAGACTGCACCTTAGAGTGACACAAGCCAGGACAGGGGAAACTAGAGATCTGGGACAGGGTGGAAACCATGGCCCTCAGTGGGCACTCACAGTTTGCTCCAATCAGTGACTCGATGCGCTCCCGGCGCCTCTGGCGCAGCCGGTGGACCATGAAAAGCAGCAGCGAGAGGATGAGGAAGGACGAGATGCAGCTGACCACCAAGCGCATACCGCTGGCCATGGAGTCAAACAGGTTGTTGCCATCTGTGAGGTGGGCAGGAATGAAACCTACCACTCAGAAAAGGAGCTTGAAAGGTGGGGGTGCACCTCAGCGGTGGAGCATCTGCCTAGCACAAGTGGGTCCTGAGTTCCATCCCCAGTCAGAGAGGTGTTGCACTACAGTGTACTGTTGTACTTGATAATTTTAGGACAGAAGGCAAAACAAAACCACTCAAAATCAAGAATAATGTGACGACAATGGAAGCAGAGAAGGGAACACGGTTGTTCAGAAGGATGTTTCCACATGACAGTCCATTGTGGAGCACCCTCACCTTGCTCTGGGATGCTGACTGCCTCAGGATGGCTCAGGCTCATTAGGTAAGGAGCACTTTTCTTTGAGGAGCTACAGGGCTCGGTGACTGCTGTGTGTAATGCCCCTCTAACTGTCACTGTCCAAGAAGTGAAGACTTCTTTCCCAGGACTGGCATTTCTAGAAGGCTGAGGATGAGCAGCTCTGTGTGCTCAGGTGAAAGGCTGCACACAATGTCGCCATCCCTGCCTCAGACAAGACCTAAAGCATTCTCAATTATGCCCAGAGCCCCCAAAACACCAATGCAAGAATCAGGGAGAAAGGCAAAGCCTTCCTAGCTTTTCTGTTCAAGACTAGTAGCTCTACAATGGGTTACCCATTGAGAACACGCCAGGGTGAAGCCAGGCAGCTGCCCTGTCTCACAGCGGGCCAGGGTGTCCCTTCATGGAGACGCTGGGAGGCTTGAAGTGGGTGTGACATCCCTGTGCAGCTTAGTCACAGGCAGCAGCTACAGGGAGGACAGGCTGCAAAAAAGAAGCACGAGGGCTGGGGAACCCAGTGAAGAGGTGCCTATGGCATAAACAGAAGAAAATGACAAGAGTCTGGGACAGTGACAGATGGGAGGAAGTGACAGCACAGGGTAAATCTGGGTCTCAGATTTACCATGATTCATTGATGGACAGGGGGAAAGACAGGGAACACCTGCTGCTGCCACATGGGCCTCCAACAACTGCTGGGGACAAAGCATACAAAGGATAGTCACTCGGCACGGTGCAGTGAAGCACCTGAAAACCCAAGTGCTGACCCTCCCTGTGCATCACACTCATGCGGGTAGAAGAGGGGCTAGGGTGGTCCCAGCTCTACCTGCCTGCTCAGGGAGTGTTGGGGAAAGGGGCCAGGTAACCAATCTCCAGCTGGGCTAAAGCCAAGAAGCAACAAGTGCAAGCTGTAGCACTTTCCCCGGCCCTTCCAAGGCCCCCTCTGCCTTCAACCCTTTTGGTGGTCAGCACTTGGGGAGGAGGTGCAGCTGGCATTCAGTAATTCAGGCCAGGGATGCTGCTCAACGTCCTAATGCACCTGGACAGAGACTTCCATACATCTGTCAGTATGTCAACAGTGCCACTGAGGTGGACACTCTCTCTTGCCCTGGTGCACACTGTGGCCTGACATGCTCACTATGAGCTGCTGCTGATAAGAGATATGATATATGTGATATGTATGAATAGTACCAAGAAGGAGACTCGTACTAGTCAAGTTCCTACACCATGATTGGCATTTCCATGAACTCTCAATCTAGATGACACTAATTCACATGAAGTCACAGAATGATTAACTAGGAGGTGACCCCAGGCTTATCTGCCTCCACAGACCAAAGGGAGAGGCCAGGCAGGCTTCAGAGGGACAATGAGCCCACTGGCTCCTGGAACCAGGAGGACCCCATGTAGGCAGGGACCCTGCTAAGCTTCAGAGAGATCTAGGTGCCAGGGGTATAGTTCAAGGGTAGAACATTTGACTGCAGAAAGACCTAGGCCTGGCTGCTTCTACAACAGCCTTTGCAGGCAGGTCTGCAAAGGGAAGCCCCAAAAAGATAATTCATAACCCAAATGGAAGTTGGTGGGCTCTTGCCCACCTTTACCTGCTGGCCCAGTTTGTTCCATACTAACAGAGAAGGTCAGAACTTGCTCTTGCCCTCTTTCCATGGGGTCAGAAAGCATCTCCAAAAGCTGTAGCTGTTGCCTGCAACATTTGTGCTACAGGCATGTAAAAAAGAAACATCCTCTCCCCAATTAGCTGTTTTATTGATACTCATCCAGAAATATGTTTTGTTTTGTTTTGTTTTTTTACTTTTTTTAGTGTGTCTTTTCTTGAGACAGGGTCTTATTATGTAGTTCAGGCTGGCCTCGAACTTGCAGTGATCCTGTTGCCTCAGGCTCCCTGTGCTGGGATTACAGGCATGCACCACCACATCTGGCTTTTCTTTTTGAGACAGGGTCTCATTATGTAGGCTGGCCTTAGACTCACTATGTACCCTGGGCTGGCCTTGAACTTGCAGAGATCCTCATGCTTCAGCCTTCTGAATGCTGGGATTATAGGCAGGTGCCACCATACCTGGCCCAGAAACATTCCATCCCCGTCTATGGGAGAAAGTCTATTAGTCCAAGGGGCTGGTGATGCATCTGTCAATTGGAAGCCAGCTCAAAATTCCCAGGGGATCACCTACAGAAGCACCCCCCTTGAAATGACTAAATTCTAATCAGTTTTAAAATAAACCCAAGGACACAGTCAAGGTCCCAGACTGTCCCTCCATGATGGAGACTAGGAAAAAGCATCTCCTAGAACCAAACCTCCTAGAACCAAACCACCTACAAAGCTCCTGTCCCAGGAGCTGAAGCCAGTCCCAGGGATTCTAGGGGACCCATGACAAGGCTATTTCCTGCGTGGGTTCTGGAGAGTATAGGTGGGGCTATCTTCTGTCTTCCAGCTACCCCTGGGACCCCAGAGAGAAGAAATATCCTGCTGGGGTACATGTTGTACCCCAGGCAGCAGCCCAACCAGTGCATAAAGAACTCCAGTAATGAGGAGCTCACAGTTTCACTGAGCTTCGTTACATGGTAACAGGTGCACAATCTACCAGACATAGCAGGTACAGAAGATCTACAGCAGGTATAGAAGCCCCACTGCAGGCTTCATTATACTGCCAGCTGCAGCAGTGGGAACCACAGTCTGGCTCAGCTCCCGGGGTCTTGACACATCAGGCTCCCTCAAAGCACCAGTGCGGCAGGGGAGGTGTAAGAGCTCCAAGCACTCCATGCCTTGGCCAGAACTTGGTGCTATGAATTTTACCATTTTAGTCTTTTTGTTGGGTCTGGTACATTATGTGGATTTGTTTCTCTAATGACCATTATCACTGTGAGTTCAAGGCCAGCCTAAACTACATGGCAAGACCCTGTCTCAAGACATTAAAAAAAAAAAAAAAAAACCACCCAAATCCTTTCAGTGACCTATGAGGTCATCCTTTCTTCACCAGCCCAGAGCTTTAGAAGGGCAGAAAGGTTTTGGGGGACTGGTCCAGGCCATCACACATAGGCTCACTGCACAGCACGGCCTTAAGACTTTGCTCCCCACACTTTAAGCAGTTCATG